GGAGCAATGCGCATCGCGTTCGGGTGCCATAGTAAGCGAAAACCCCTTAGCCGACTACGTCATAGGTGACGAAGCCGGCCTTTTTTATCAAAACAATACTTGTACGTCGCCCGTCCATTCTCATGATTTCCCCCGAACATACGATCATCGCCTAAGTGGTCCATATCAAGAAAGTCTAACCCGACACGACGCTCAACGCGGAGCTCGACCTTCTTCGTCGAGATCTCCCCCGCGAGCTCGTGTCCTAGACACCACGTCTGTAGGTCATATCCACCACAGATTCCAATCGTCAGAGAATATAGTGCGACCGGGCGTCGATAGCGACGATCCCCGTGAACTCCGTGCGTTCCTGCCGCGGAACCCGGTCAAGGGAACTAACATCCCAGATCACAGGTTGCGACATGGTTTCCAACGTGGAGCTCGATTAGAACTCCCGATGCCTCCACTGAGGACCCATGCCGACCAAACACAACATTCAGATCATACTTCACGACATGGCGCTCGACGTGGGGCTCGAAGTCCTGCTTCGACGTCTTCGCGGCGAGCCCATGTTACAAATTCCCCGCACAATTCTCAAATATTAGGCACAAACGGTCATATATCGCGACATGGCGCACAGCGTGGAACTCGATTAGAACTCCCGAGGTCTCCACCAAGGACCCATGCCGTCGTGGCCGATACAAACGATCATATTCCTCTACAGTAATGAGACAGCAACGTTTCTAGTTATTGTTTCAAATGTGTAGTAAAACAGCTCATTTGCAACGTTTCATTTACGTTTCGTGTTTAGTGGGTACAAAGCAATTTAAACATCATATCTGCAAGTTCTTTTAATTAAGTATACATTGATGTAAAACTTTGGTGCTTGTGCGCAAAAAATTAACCAGTATAACTTCAATGGTCTATTTACAGTTTAATAATAAGTGTAAGTTATAAAGCATAAAATAATAATTTAAAATGAATTCGTTCGTTTTAATCTGAGGTTACGTGAACTGCTAACTACATAGATTTGACAATAAAAAATCCATATAGAGGGTGTCTCGTATCTGGACAACGGAAAACCACAGACCCTGGACTCAAGATAGACCTATTTCCTAGACGACACTAATTGTAACAAGATTTTGTAGCGTTGCCAACTTAATATATCTAGTTACTTACCAAAGTCAGTTTATTATCAAAGTGGTGTCGCGGGAAAATTTAAAATAATTTGTAGGTAGTTTTCATTAAATAAAATAATACCAAAGTAATAAAATGAATGCATAATGACACCCAATAATAATAAATTAAGCGTAAAATTTTGTGGTACTTTTTCTTGTTTTTTATGTAAATATGTAACGTAAAACTAATTGTATATCACGATCTTATATTTTCCACAAATACTAATTTTAAAATCACAAAAAGTCATCTGCTAAACTACTAACTTTTACCAAGTTATAAAAGTATTATATTGTTTAGTTTATATTGCTAAATAGGTTTATGAAAGGTAAGTGAATTGGTGTAATCCTTGGGTGCAATAAGTATTAAAGACTTGACTGAAATATTGAACGAATATTTCAATCAACACCAAAATATTTTTTTTAGGTTAGAAAGAATACACAAGGTATATTTTTTTACCGTGGCAATATTCCTTAATGATTATCTTAATATATACCAAAAAATGTTAATGTATTTAGGTAAAACAACAATTGTGTGGTATCAGGAATTAAAAGGTCGACGAAGAAAAAATGAGAGGGCAGTGCAGATGAATAGATCAGAAGGATCAGTAGTTGCAGTTTGACAATGATTTCACAACAATCAACAATCAACCCCTGGCTGATAACACCGCTGCATTTTTTTTAGGAAGCGTAATATTAAATGCAAATTAAAAGACTTATAATAGTTAGATTTTTATTTAGATTCATTTACAGAAATTCTAGACTTATTGCTATACAAAATGTTTACTAATTTTTCTGATGGTAATAGAAAAGCCAATGTCTATAAAAAAAACAAAACAAATAAAAATGTGAACGAATGGCACTTTCCTTAAATTTTCTGTAATCCATAAACTATTAAAAAATAAACAAACGAACCTTATTTAAAGTGAGGTTATTTTACCTCCACCAGAAACTCGTGAAACTCAATTGATACCAACTAAATTTAAACAATAAAATTTGGTAAGCAACTAAATTCTAGTTCGATTTATATTGGCAACATTGCGAAATCTTGTTACAATTAGTGTCGTCTCTATTTCCTTGCCTCAAAATTCCTGAAAATTTGTAATTTTTTAAATAATTCAAAAACGCGTTAATCAATTTTGGTTTTTTTATCGTATAGATTTTCAATTTACACTTTTTAGTGTTATACAATTATTTTTAAAACTTACAACTGCAGGGTGAACAAATCTGTCCGCAATTCCGTTTTTTCTCAGTTCCTGTTAAGCAACAGGCAATCAACAATTGTTGCTAAACATTTCTAGAAAGAACTGTTTGTTGCTTTTTTGTTACTAGCAACGTCAGCCTTGATATGCTACGATTGTGACGCTGGGAGAGAATGTGAAGATCCAGAATTGTTCAACGTCAGAAGTGTAAATTGCGAGAAACAGTACCCCAACGAGCTACAGAGTAATATTGTTTGTCTCGCTTTGGATATAACACTAACAGGTGAGTTTACTAACCAGCCATATTTTCAATTTATTCAAATATGCTGTAGGCTCATTATAAACAAAAAAAATGGCGAGTAAATTAGAAGATATAATATTCTTTCGCTGAAATTAAATGGATTTATCCAGTCCCTAAGATATTCGGCGGCGTCGAAATTCCAGCGTTCTTAATGCTGATGCTTGTTTACCAGTATATGTGCCAATGATTGACAGACTTACCTATTAACTTTTTTTAATTTCAACAGACTATATATCGAAAATGAATCGTTACCGGGGACACATGTTTGTAGAAATTTTTTATTGATTTGTGACGTAGAACCTACCATCATAATTTCGACACGTTACTACGAAAACATGCTCTTAAATTTAGCTTGGAAAACATGCTTTCCAAATAAGAACAAAATGCAATAATTTGTAGGAAAACATAATTTATTCATAAAATTTCATGAATAGAGTTAACATAATAATCAGAATAGAAATATAATGTATAAAGTTGAATAATATTTCCGAAAAACATCTGTGCATGGGGAACCGCGGAAACATGCACGTTCATATCATCTGCTCTACGCCCGTCGCATCGATATCCAGCAGATCATAAAGTACAGGTAATAAAAGTTCGCATACCTGCATTTCATTTCCAGTTTATGCAAGCACGCGGATACCGTACCTTTAAGAAGCCATTTGTTTTTATTGAGGTGCAGTAAGAACGATTCGGACCCGGAGTTTAGGGCCTAGCCTAGTCCACTATACAATCCTTTTTATTGCAGTATCCTTAAGAGTCCGCATTTTCAGAATTGTGCATCTCAGATTTTGTGAAAAAAAAAATAACAATATTTTTCTATTAAAACTTTCGTACACACACTGATAAAAAAGTTATAACCAGTTTTTATCAACCAGGAGTACATTTCCTAGCGCCCTTTAGCGTCTACAGCAAAATTAAGTACGAATTCGTTTTTCTCGTCCCAGAAAACCCCCTAATCCAAATTTTCAAAAGAATCCTTTGAAAACTTTCTAAGAGTTTTAAGAATTTCGAATTCAAAATTTCAACTTTAACGCCCTGTAACTTGTTTATTAGCCACAAATGAACCAAGGTAAGTTTGACTTAATCGCATTATTTTGATGTAAGGAATCTACTCTTGCTCTGTGTCCCATTAATTTCGGGACACCCTGTATAAGTTTATCATAAATGCACGGTTTCAATCATTCAATGGGCATTTCAACGCCAATGCAACCAACTGAACTAGTATGTTTTCGTAGTAACGCGTCGATTTGTGTAATGTTTTTTTTTTTTTTGTTCTAATTCCGATTTTTTTAGGAACGCGAGGCTTCAATATGTACAAATCTGGGATTTACCGAGGATGCAGGGTAATTCCTAAGGAAGAAGAGGCAATTTTCTGTGATAACTTGAAAACTTCACATGCTGATCGCATGCAAATAAACTCTTGCGAATATTGCAACTCCACTAGATGCATTCCGTAGGAGCGGATCAAACATATAAAAAATTGTAATACCAATTACAAATTATTTTTCTATTATAAATTAAAAATATACAGAGCGTTTATTTAATGATACATCTTCTGTAACTTAAGAGGATTGTCCGATTGATACCAAATAGAGTAACCGCGCCGTTGCCAGATTGATACTTTTTCAGATATAATGGGAAACAGTTTGTTGAACAGGCGAATAATAGTTTTTTGCGGAAATTTTAGGAACAACGAAGATAAATTAGAAATAATACTCATAAATGATTCTATATTTTTTTTTCGAAAAACCGCTGTGTTCACTGTAGCATTTACGTATAATATACAGGATGTCACGAATTTTTTCCAAGTAAATTCACAGATGAAGAAAAAATACTTTTTGTTGAAATTACATCGTTTTTGAGATACAAGGCGATCAAATTTTCAAAAGTTATATCTCTAAATATCTTCGGAACAAAATGAAGATATTGAAGCGAAATTTTGTGTATGCAATACGAAGGAAATTGTTGTGCTACTGTTCGAACATATGCTGAAAGATTTCCTAATCGACGAACTCCAAATCACAAAACGTTTGCTAATGCGGAGAGACGCCCTCGGGAAACTGGACATTTTTTACCTCTAACATTAAATCGTGGATAGAGTACGGCCGGAATTATTCAGCTGGAGGAACAAATTTTGGAATGGGTCGAAGAAATTCCTCAAGTAAATAAAAGGTGTTTAGCGGCAGAGATTGGCTTTCAAAAAGTTTCTTTAATAGAGTATTAAAAGACCAGTTATTACAGGTTACAGGTATTACAGATTATTAAAGGTCTAACAGGTTGATAGGTAGAGGAAATAATGCCTCTTTAAAATGGCCACCTCGATCCCCGGACCTAAACCCATATAATTATTTCATTTGGGGAGCGGTGAGGACCACAGTTTAAAATAACTTTTCAGTAAATACAGAAAACGAATATGGGAAAGAATACAACATGAAATTAATGTTATGAGAGGTAATGCACAATTATTGGATAATTTATAATTTTCGAAGAACTAATGTTTGCGTTTAAGAACAAGAAAGTAACTTTGAGCATTTACTGTAATATTATTTTAACGCGGGTACAAATATCAGTTTATTTAAAATGTTAATGTTGACTTTCTTACATTATTAGTTGATATTGTTTATTTAAAATATTAGTATTAATTTTTGTTTATGTTAATGTTGACTTTCTTACATTATTAGTTGATATTGTTTATTTAAAATATTAGTATTAATTTTTGTTTTATCGATTGATAATACTAATACCAAAAATGTGGTTATTTTTTTTAATGTGACGTTTTTTCATTATTATTCCCTGCTTTGAGACTGCAGTTATAAATTATTTTTTATAAATCGGAATTTTTGCCTATATTTAATGTATAAAAAATGCGTATTCTACTCGAAATCCATAAACGAAGGCTATATCTCAGTAGGCCTGCACTTTTGTATATAGGTAAGTTAAGCTAAATGGTCTTATTTTCATCCAAGGAACCTGTGGTCAAGCGTTGTCCATCCTTTTCAGGGACACCCTGTATATTTTTTAATTTCTAAATCTGCATAAAATTCCTTTTAAATGATTTGCATAAAAAACCGTTGAAGAATAAACGCCAAATAATTAGCTTATTAAAGTTTTTATTATTATTTATTATTACTTGAACACTGAGACTCTTCATTTTCCTTCCAATGGGAACCCAAATAATGGAAATATCAAGACCACGTGTATTCGATGCAGAAATGTCCAACTTACATAACGACACCAAAATCATTTCGATCTGACCATCCCTGCGCCCAGCGGCAGTCGTAAAAACTTAATTTTTTTAAAAATTTTTTTAGTAATTTTCGTACCCCGCCGCTGGAAAAGCTAGTGTAACCTCAAATAACGGCGGGCTTTAGTCGCAGCTCATGCACAATTCCACACCATTCGCCGGGAGTTACATTTGTTGAGTGGATGTTCGCCACACAAACAGTACATAACAAGTAACGTAGCAAAAAAACTCAAGCAGTAATCAATAATGATTCTGTTTAGTTTCCAACAATGAAAAATATTCAAATTCAATCAGATGTGTTACGTCACCGGTTACAGGCACCATCTCCCTTCACATGCATTGTAGGTTGCCTACAATACTGTCTGAAAAAACAGTAAAATCGGCCATGTTTACTCATGGAAGATAAATGAATGAGACAATTCGTATAAAAGTTATGTGGAATACTCTGTATAACAAAGTGGTATTTATATTATGAAATTATAAATAACAAAATTTATTCGAAAGAAATACTTGCCTTATTAGTGTCCTTGAATCTCCTGGATTTCTTGTCGCCATTTTCTGAAGCCTTCACTTCCAAGGGAAAAAAAAAGACGGGGTAACCAAAAAGTGTTTATTAATTTTCCATTATATTAACAAAAAAACATGAATATTCATATTTCTAACTAGCGCAGCATTTTCAATAACATAATAAAAAATTTATACCCAAGAAATTCTCAATACTCTACGATTAAAAGTCACAGTAAGCAACATTTATTGCCTTTCATAAAGACATGTCTTTGCAGACACCTGGATATATATTATATATATATATATATATTTCAAAACGAATATAGTTATAAAATCTGGTACAATATAAAAATATGGTTTTGGTATATAGCAGAATATCAATCTATAGTGGATATGGATAAAAATTTTAAATGTATATATGTATCTCTTTGTGAGCATAGTAATGATCCAAATATACATTTCAAATTAAAATTAATAAGAGAATGAGATGGTTTATTATCAAACTCCTTCAAAAAACGGAATATAGGTACAAAGGTATAAAAGAAATGGTTGGATTGAGGACAGATAATGGTAACTTTGGGCAACACTAACAATTAAAATATCGAGTTGGATATGTCACAGTCACAATATTCGACGAAGGGAACAAGATTTTGCAGATCTACAAAGTTTTTCATTACCAAAAACAACGCATTTGAAAGAAAATCAGAAATATGGAATATTGTCTTACTTATAACTTAAAATAAACCTACAATTTAAAATTATAGACCAGCACATCTAACTTGACGTTACAGAGAACTTGCAAAAACGACCAAATTGTACAAAAATGAGAAAAATCAATTACAATTTTATGACTACATCATCAACCAATAGTACTGACGAGCCACGAACTTATTTTGAGCAAAAACTAACCATAAAATTGTTTTCAAAGTATAATCTGAATAAAAAGAAGAGTAAATACCAGTCCGCAAGTGCAAATTCCCCGTCCCAGCAACCCATCACGTACCTATTTAGGAATGTGTTACTTAAAAGAGGAAAATGGCGGCTGCCAAGATGAGCCCAATAAAGGTGACTCCGGTGAGTCTTTGAGCGGAGTTACACTTGTCGGAATCGCAAGTGTAGCAGTTGAGGTTCTTCAAGCTATCTGCATCGTTGCTGGACTGGGAAGAGATCCAACCTATGGCCGAAGCGATGGCGTTACAACCGATGGTGCCTGGTGGTAAGCATCCCCTGGCGATGTATTCCCCACCCTCCTTGTCTGAAAAAGAGAATTTTCACTTCAAATATCAGATCCAACATCAATTCGAAGTCAGGCACATTACACCAGGAAAATTAGCGAAAATAAAAGAGAAACTCGAAAAAAGTCCTATCCGTTAGATTATTGTAAAATTGTCTAAAGGAACATAATACAAGACATCTCTCGTCTTGTGAGTCAAAAACTTTTATTAGCTAACTTTTCTATTTAAACAAATAAGTGAGGAAAACGGTTTTTTCACTTTGCAGGGAAAACCATCAATTTTAGCGAAAAGTGACTCGCAGACAGCTTGTAGGGAGTAAAATTATCTACAAAATGAGACTGGTTAAATTAAAATCGGTTAATAAACAAAAAAGTTATTGCAAAAAAACAAGAAAAGTGCCCATTTTGAAGATAATTTTACTCTATCGCATTTATTGTTAAAATTTTATAAAACCTATGACAAGTTGAGGGTTTTGTCATACTTCAAAAGTGTGCCAAAAGTGGGCGCTGTAGGTGCAATAGTTTTCGCACAATTCTATTTGTTTATAGC